CACAACTCTCCCTGTTCATTTTTCGGCTGGTCATCTCCAACAATAAAAAAAATCATAATTTCTCCCCCCCCCTTCTCTCTCTCTCTCTTCCAAACTGTGACTTTCATAAATTGTTCGTAATGAGATGGAACATTTTGCCCCTAGCATCTGGATGCGAGATGCCATCTTCATCTAATGCGAGCTGGGTATCATTCAAAACGCTGGTGGGCGCTCAGCGGTTTCCAGGAGCCAGGGTGCCGAGATAGTCAGGCCGCCCCACGTACGGGCGTTAGCGCCAACTTCCTGGCCCCAGGCAGACTCGAAACATGGGAGATAATAGAAAAATCCATTTGGAAAATACTGCTAGTTGTCTCCCATCCTCTCTTTCCGTTAAACCCTATTCCGTGAAGGCATAGTGGGAGAATTGTCAAAATTCTACAGTTTGTCAATATACTGATCCTGAAATCAACCCTCTAGGCCCTTAGTTCGGTTTCTTTTACAGTCTTTCTATCCCTTTTCTATCATAGAGTCTCCCATTTCACTGATGGGCAGCTACATTTTGTAATTCTGAATTGATTTGAGGGTATTTTTTCGAACATAATATCAATATGACCACTTGGACTCAGATAAAAAATTCGTTCTCGATACGCCATGACAAAAAGCTGTAAATGAACTAAATGCAGAGTAGAAAAGAGAAGAGCTAAATTGCGATGCATGTTTCAAGTCGGAGATAAAACAAATCGAGTGCTGGTCAACAGATCTGCCAGCCGTTATCTTAACGGTGCTACTAGGCGTTTACTGGCAACAATGAGCGTGATAGTGTTTATTGTCAGTAGTAGCGTGACGTGAGATGGGGGAGCCGATCAATGTGTTGCTTTATTAATAAGGAAGAGAAAAAAAAGAAGGGGGTGGGTCTGCGTGGGAAGGAAATTTGTGGGAGCAGGCATTTTTGTTTTCGCGCGAACCCATTGGCCAGTGTATAAATCATCGTCTCATTTAAGACAGAAGTGTCTAGAAGCAAGACCGCATTGGTCAGATCTTCGAGGGTGTAATTACTACTGGCTTCCTCTCTTTTCTTGTAAAATGCGTCAAATTAGAAAGCCTCTGAATAAATTCCTTTCGTCCGGTTTGTGATTGCCGTTATTTGCCATTATTACCCGGGGCTTGCCGAGAAGCACGGGAGTTCGACAACGATAAAACCATCGGGCGAGCTGTTGGAGAGAGGGAAACGAACCGCTCGGGGAACGGTCGCAGAACTGTGCGTGAGAAGAAAAAGACGAGCTCGTGGTCACTTTGTGGTCATCTTCATTGTCTGCTGACCCCCACGGAGATTTCATTCGACTCCTCAGACTCATAATAACATCTCCTGTGTCTGACAAACAGGTTAAAGGATCAGTGAAGCTTGAACGAGTGTTTTCTTACCATTTCGTCTCTAGTGACCAAGAGCTCGTAACTTGGCTCAAAGAGTAGACCGGTCTTCTCAATATATAGTATTTAAGTGACTACAGTACAAATTTCACTTTATCTAGACAGCCTTTCCCCCAGAGACCACTGTGATAAAACTATTAGGTCAATTTACTTCAGATCATCTCATTGACGTTAGTCTGGCATTGAAATACTCGCTGTGCTGGATCTATTGCTCGTGTGGTTGCATTTTGGTGCTAGTATTACTCTGCGTCTACGCCACTGAAACAAAAGCATGACTTGCGCCAGTTATTTGAGGTAAGATTAAGCTTTCGTTTTTAAAATTTTCACTTCACATTGGTTGCAAAATTACATTACACGTTCATTGTGTTTAAAGTGTGTAGTTTTGAGGATCTTCCTTGAAAATAATTTCTCACGTACTCTCCATATCCAAGTCGTTCTCAGCTTATGAGCCCCCCCCCCAAAAAAAAAAACCACTCTCCGCCTCTTTACTTTGTATATTCATTCTTGAGTGTTGATATATCCATATTACATGTAGTGGGCGAATCGTTGTTGAGCCATACATACATACTTTAAAAAATTTTTTTTGTCCACTCAATTCTTCTAGGTTTTATTTTGAAGCATTACCCAACATATACCCCCCCCCTTTTTTTCCCCCTAACCCTAATCTCTCCCCACCCCTTCGCAATCATCTCTTTCATTGCGCTCTCTTGTCTTCCTTCTCCTCATCATCGTTGCCGTGGTCGCCATCCTTATTGTTATTGTCTTAACAGCAGCCGAGGTAGGTTTCGATAAAGTCTAGAAGAGGAGCATATTTTTGAGTAACGTTTCCTAGAATGTAGGGTAACGTGAAGAAAAAAAAGTTGGCTTGGTTTGACGTCTGATTTTTTTTGCGAACTGGAACGCTGTGTCTACAATGAATAAGGGATATTGAATATAACATATTATTCAATTGTTCGATAAGGAAAAGGCAAACTTTTCAATTTTATACCTGGGGCCGTATTTAATTACAAAAGAAGATGAGATGTTTTGTTTGTAAATTTACAAGAATTCAGTAAATAGGAAGCATGTAAAAGAGGGAAAAGGTGGATAGTAGCAGTGGGGGGAGCAGCTTATCGTCAACCAGACATTAATGGGTTCTGCTTCATGCGTGGTGTGGGCCCTACACCTGCTCAAATTTTATTGTTTTAATCTATCAAATCAGGGAGAGGAACAGGGGGTGGTGATGTGGGGCGTGGGGGTGGGTGGAGTTGGTTTGTTGGCTCCAGAGCTGTGTCAGTGAAGACAGGGACCGCCACAGGTACATTTGTAGTTACAGTT